TAGTTTGCTATACTGTATTTGTGCTTCTAGCCCAATATCTTCAACGTCACATCCTCCATCATCAGTTATCGTTAGCAGTATAGCGTTGGGGACTCTCTCATAGGTTTTGAAGAGCTGTAGGAATCTTGTTTCGCCCCCATCCAGTGGAGTGGTGTATGCTACTGAGAGAGACGAGGTTCCAAAGTCAATAGCAGCTATGTAATTGCTTCTCTGATGTACAACTGAACCAGGCTCTTTCTCTACTTTTTCTGCTCGTGATAAGGGCAGCTTTCCTTGAGGTTTTGCTACAGAATCTTCGACTCGGTCTTCGAAAACAGTCGCCATTCTAAAATTCTTTTTTTTTTATCACGTGATATTTAATACATAAAGATAATAAAACCATTAATAACAAAAATTAATAATAAAATTATTCGAGAGAATATTTGACTCTGGTGCAAGCAATATAAAACTCATTTGGGTTTCCAGTCTTGTGCCAGCCAATAGGTCCGACTTCACAATCAGCACATATGAGATACTTAAGGTCTTCAACCGATCGAGAGAATCCAACATTCTCAAAATGAAACATATCCACCACAAGCCAGTGATCTTTTATTGTCTCTCCAGCAGGTTCGGTACCAATAGCATACTTTGTTGTCATATCGGGAAGAAAGAACTAAAAAAATTAATATTACTTAATTAATTGCATAATGCAACAGGATGCAATAGCAACAATAATCAATGTAAACTGTCAATAAAATTATAGTTATGACTAACTAAAATGACAATGCAAACTGCCATCATATTTGTTTAACATGAATTATAGATTTAACGGTTTATATTATACATAGTCAAAACAATATCATTACTTCTTTGTCAATAAGAGTTCCTGTTCCCGGTTTCATGACTTTACACTTGCAGTTACCACAAATCAACATTAGAGAATTCTTCTTATCATCTCCATAACACTTAGCTAAACTGCATTATGCAAATTGATATTAAGAAATTAGAGATACATAATTTAAACTATTAATTAGACTCACTCAAAATCAATCAGTTGTACTGCGTTGGACTTTGACTGACCAGTCAGTAGCTCTGCAGTCACTCTACTAATGGGAACAGCCACTTCTTCTCCTTCAGTAGACTCAGCCATGTCATGTACTGCTTTTGATGATTCTGGTTGAAAAAGGTGTGGCTAATTAATTTGCGTGGGTGACAGTTGTGGGTGCGGTTTTATATTAACCGCACCCCTCAACAAGCATGGAAACTAGGTTCAAGAAAAAAGAGAGCATTTGGAGCAAAGCTTTAAAGCAGAAGCAAGAGTGGGAGGATAAGGCAAGGATCTCTCCTCATAGTATATTTATTGTGTGTTTGTGTAGGATGATCTGCTTGACGTGGTGTATTGGGTGAGACAAGTAATATCACTGATAGTTGGCCTAATGTGGGGCACCATTCCACTAACTGGTGTTGTAGGTATTGTACTGTAAGTGGCCATACATGCACATGTTCATGTGATTATATATTGGGACAGACATTTTATACTAGCATCATCGTCATGTTACATATTAACAAAAAATGGTTAGATGTGTAACAATCACATGCTATCTCTCTTCCTCTGTCCTTCCCTTTCTTTTATTAGGTATTTAATGATCACGTGTGGTTTTGTTTATTTCTATTGTACATTCTATCAAGGGGTTAGTGATGAGGAACTAGGAGGAGCTTGGGAATTATTGAAGGAAGGTTTTATGACTTCGTTAGCAATTTTTTTTGTAAGTCAATCAGGATTTTTAAAATTAAAGAAGAATTATTAATTAGCTTGTATGAGCATAATTATCAATTACTTCACAAATGATGAAATTTCTAGAGCCATTTTACAACTAAAATTGGATTTTTATGATTTTTAAAGTTGCTCAAAAATTCAGCCAAATACCCTGTACTATAGTACAGAGATTTTGACCAAATTTTACCAAAAAAGAAAAAGAGAGAATTCTCAATTTTTATAATGTTTTTAGATACATATACATGTACTTATATTGTGTAGAAAGTTTGAATTGATTCCGATCAAATTTGGATTTTTTGTGAATTTTTAAAGTTAAGTTGCTCAAAAATATTCAAAAAATGGCTAGGAGAGAATTCTCGATTTTTATAATTTTTTCTGATACATATGCATGTTCTAATGTTGTTTTGAAAATTTAAACTGAATCCAATCAAAATTGGTTTTTAAGATGAATTTTAAGTTGCTCCAAAACTTGGACCACGACCCTGTACTATATATAGTACATGAAAATGACTACAAGAGAATTCTCTTTTTCTGATAATTAATAATGGTGCATTTTTTATTTAGAAAGTTTGCCTATGATTAGCAAAAATGACATGATATTGATATTGATTTGTTCCCAAATCATTAAATATGTATTCCTTTAGGTGAGTTGGATATTATCTTTCACTGCTTTTCAATTTGGATGACAGTTTTAAAGAGACTTATTATATTTCATTAATTTATTCATATG